GGTCAGTAAAGCAAATGTAAATTTTAAATCCAGTCTGTTACCTGGGAATCACAAAAGAGTATTCATTAGTTTTTGCAAACAATGAATTTTGTAACATTTCAAACAAATTCTTTTTTAAAACACAGTTCTCGGCATTTGACTCACCCAATAATAAATCAGCTTAACTGAACTCTGGTAAATGAAATTGCAATAAAATCAAACCTAGTAAGACAACATTATACAACGCAGCAATTCACGCGCTTAACATTTTTAGTTCCCCTTTTGCTGAGAACACAAATCAATTCGAATCAGACACAAAAAACGACAGTTGCTAGATAGAATCTCTATTAGATTTGCCAGTACATTTAATCGATTTTATGAAGAGAAATGGACACATTTACATTTATACAGGGCGGTGCGCGACGAATGGGGCGTAAGACTTCATTTTCTAAGCGTCGAAATAATGGGACCACCACTTTATACTGTTGTTCTTTCAGAAAAAAATTATAAGTAGAAATAAATATTTCGAATTTCTGTATTGTCAACAGCGGTGAATGAGCAGCAACGTTTTGAACATTTGCAATTTATCTATTTATATTATTTTTCTTATATAAGGTGATCCAAATACGGGTATCTTTCTGACTCAAATCGGAGCATGCAAGTTATGCAAAAATACCGATTTTGAATACCAACAATTTTCGCACTTTCAAGCACAATTGATAGAAGCATTGTTTTGAGCCGAACGGACTACAGAACCAATCTGAATAATTTGATCCAATTCTCTCTTTTTCTAAAGTAACAATAAAGTTCATGTAGATACACACTTTTCTGATATAATAATATAATATATACATTGTCTTCTTAAATGTTGGTTTTGCGACAGCTATCGATACTAATGTACCTTCTTAAATTTAGAGAAATAATAAATTTATTAAAAACACGGTCCCAAGTAATGACAAAAATTTACCTACATTTTATAATATTCATGCATAAATTTGCATCAAACATCTTAGATACCTGTTATATACAGGATACCTGTTATATACATCTTACAAGAACTAAAGTAAAAAAGTGTTTAAAATAAAAATTAGAGGTACGCCAGATTTTATAACCACAAAAGGTCACAAAATATATTTTTTAAATGTAACCCTACATACTCATTAAAAAAAACACACACCAAAGTGACATTAAAAATCCAGAAGCTTTCGAAATATTCAACATTTTTCAAATCTTGGTATTTAAATAGAGGGAGGTTGTTTCCATGACCTGACACATTTAAATTTGCTGTAATTTCGCTGATTTTTAGGATAAAACCATGAATAAACCTTGCAAATACTCATAGAACGGCGTTGTTACAAAAGAATTTATTCCATTTTGGTTTCAGGTCAAACGGTAACGTACAGGGTGTTTCAAAAAATATATAAAACACGTGGCTGCTCAATCTTTTCCAATAATTTGTCATGAAAAATACATAATTAAGCTACAAATTACAAAAAAAATATATGAAAACCGGTTAAATTGGTATAAAAGTTACTTTGAACTTTACCAAAACAAAATGCTTTTTCGACCTGAGTGTATAATATGCAAGAAATGTAAATTTAGTATTTTTATTAAATTTGACACAAAACATACAAGGTTGCATTAAACAAATATATTTTTCGACCCTGTACTGCAGTTATGGGCCATCCTATATGGTTTTTTGCGACTACAAAATACAGGAATGTTGTTATTCAATGAACACATTGTTTCCTCTTCAATTTTTCCCGTTGTTTTGTCGTTTTCGGGGTGTCAAAAAATCATCAAAAATTTCGTATACAGGGTGTAAAAAAAATCAATTTATTTTTATTTTTTTGCCAAGTTCCAGGAATGGGTGTTTGTATACACATTAGCACTTTTTCGGACCCTAATCGAACTTATTGGATCTGTCAGTAGTGGAGATTTTAGAGTATGGTATGAGTTTTCGCCCTTAACTTAAATAGCGCTGAAAAAGTTTGCATTTTGATAGAAAACTCTGATGAATTTTGATAGAAGTGCCAATGAATTTTACATGTAGAAAGTTTTATTGGTTTATTGCTCTTAAGTTAACCGTTTTGAACAAAAAGAGCCTTTTCTGAACAGATAGATTTTGTTCCTAAAGATATTTTTACGGTACCTCCACATAGCTATTAATAGTTGTAACGTATGTAATGTAATGTTGCAAACGGTTCCTCACATATTCTCAAGAAAAACTTAAAATTTTGAAACCTTGTATCTCGAAAACGAAAGCAGAGAGAAAAAGTGGTTCTTTCTCCATGCGGAATCTATAGTTCTCCATTGCGACACTTATTGAGGACATTAGATCCATTGGTGGTACACAATTTTAAATTTCCCGCCTGTTTAAAGATTGTTTTAATTGGACTTTAGAATGCCGATTTTGAGATAAAAATGTCAATAACAATAAATACATTTAATTTTGTTTAATTAAAAAAATGCATTTTGCAAAAAAATGTGGAAATACTTTTCCTCATGTGAATTTAACAGGAACTTAAACCTATATTTTTTTATTTTTAAGAAAATCCGTGGCGTATGATTCTCATATTTAAAATAGCCTGAATTTACATTAACTGAATGGTGGAACTGAAAAAACATCCGTTTTATCGCGAAAGTTGCCATTTTTATTAAATGTTGAAGCTTGGACTATTTCATTGAAACATTCCATATGGTTTCAGGAATATGTTTTCTTTTTTCAAAAAACCAAGCGATTTTTATAGCCAAAATTACTTTGTAACAATGCATGACGGTGATTTTTGTAAAACTGTTAAATTTTTGAAGTACCAAATCTTTGAAAGTTTCCTTGTCTGTATTTTCGTTCATTACATGAAATTTTACCAAATAACTTATTTAACTGAAACTAAAGTACAAAAAAATAATAAAAATAAGAATACAGTAAAATTCTGCTTCTGTTTATCGATAGCTTCTACCCACCAAATGTTGTCAATGCTGCTTTTACAGTTTTTCTTAATATTAGCATTTATTGTTTACTTTTCTAACGGGCGTTGGATAGATTTAAAAACAAGAGTTGTTTTAAGTGTACGTAAAAGTATAAAAAATAAAATACATTTTTAAGATCATCTACGTTTCGATATTTTTATTCAGGCATCTTCAAGGCACTATAAATAACCGACAAAAATTGATCGTCCCCTAACCATGCACAATAAATTTGCTTTTTGCCGCCTCTTAAGGTAATATTTTGATTATTTGTACTTAAAAATGTATTAGTTAGAAAAAGGCAGATTTGAGGAGTTAGATTTAGTGCCCTAAATATGCCTGAAGAAAAATGACAAAACGTCGGCAATTTAAAAAACCATCTTGTTTTTGGATTATATCAAATATGGCTTAACAATTTTGGACAAACACGCGATATTAGACAAATTTAGCAAAATAATTAATATTTCAAATCAGATAAAAGAAAGTTATATCTGGCAATGTTAACCATTATTTAAAGATTGCCATTTAAAATAAGACATTCAAGGTTCCAAACAAGAATTTTTGAATACTTTTGTATAGAGTGAACGAGCAATTACTGGGTCATAAAGCAAATGCAGTTTATAGATATTCAATTAACCGCGTTTAACCAAATTGGACGCTGTTTTCATAATGTAGTGTGTTGAAGTGCCTATCTGAAAATCAGATGTACTCAGATGTTTCTAGAATTTCAAGATATTCTTAATCGATGTCAATAAATCGACCCGTTTTCGAGACATTCTCAATTTAATCAATCAACCAAAGAGTAATTCCGAATTGATCAGTTCATTTAAGTTGACTAATAAAGAATTATTCAATAATTAACAATTAATTAAGTAACTGCGCAAAATGTTCCCCATTGACCTTAAAAAATTTCCTTTTATTTTAATTAAATATTGCTTTAGTCGAAATGAAATGCCTTTTTCAATCTTTCGAAACGAATTCTAGTTGCAACATTCAATTTCTTCTTTGTAAAGGATATAAATTTTAAAGCCGAAATACAAGCGCGCATTGGCTGACGAAATTGGAAATATTTCTAAAACGGGCCGGTTTAGCGATGTCTATGTATAAAGAAACTATTTTACTAAACGAAACTATACATTTTCGATGGAAGAAATCCGTCTACCAAATATTGTATTCAAAATCCGAATATAACCTTTTTAAATCTCTAATTGAAGTAGCAGCTTGAACATCCTGCCCTGCTTTATGCAAATAAATAACATCAGACTACGTAGGGCAATTTTAGCAAAATCTCATTAACTTAACATCAACAATCTGCATAACTTTTTCTACTCTCACGCCTCACTTACTCATCAGATGATTACGAACCACACTGTCTAAGAAATATAGTTTAAAGCATAATCCCAATAATTACTCAAATCATAGTTTACTGGCACCTAAACACTAGCTCTCGAGTTTTTTTCAATCAGGGAAACCTATTCATGCAATGCATCGCAATTCAACAAAAATATTTAAAACTGAACGCACCCAAAGAACTAAATTCTGTCTTAGTGTTTCAAACGCATCATCAACCATCATCCACCCAATATAACACATTCTTAATTGCACAGCGTTGGTTTAATTAACTATTTGAGACAAACTCGGGCATCCTCATCTACTTGGAACCACGTTTGGTGTTAGAATCATAAATTCCTTAATTAAATGAATGCCATTAGTCATACGAAACCAGTGCAACCATTAATCTAAACCAGCCAGAACCATTTACGGCAAACGATTCTGGTTTTAGGAGCATAAATTTGGCTGGATGCATGCGTGTGATGCAACAACGACCAAAAGGTTTTTCCATCGAAAAGCCGGAGAAAGTTGCATGTTAAAATGCATCACCCGATCTCACCAGACAGGAAACAAGTCAATCAATGCCTTTGACTCTTGGACGCATTCTCATTCCAAATAAGCCGTGAAAGTTTATGGCTGCAGTTTACTAATCAACCACGGCGTTACGGAAAAAACAGCCCAAATATGGACTATGGGAGATTATCTAATGCAGAATTTCTAACCTGGATCTGCAGGCGGTGTAGGTGTTTCATCTCTGCTGACCGCCAGAACTTCGCTATCAGGATCCAGCAGTGGGTCCTTGTTCACGAAGGGGTTGAATCCATCATCGGTTGGATTGTTGTTGGCTACTTCAGAGAACGACTTCTCCAGGTTTCGTATACTGGAGATTTTCACGTCTTGCAAACCTGGAAAACAAAAACAGCCCAAATTAATTTAGATTTTCTATTGTCAATTGAGTCTTTGAAGAAGCAATGGAAACAGCGAATAGATACTTTAGAACAAATAATTCCGACTTTTAATTCCTTTAAAGGCACGTTTCAATCCTCAAAAGTTTTAGCGGAAAAAAACGTATGTAGAAAGCACGAGATTCATAAAAATTGCATGTATTAATTTCGACAAACCGTCTTATTATTCTAATGAAGTTCAATTCGATCGCTTTGGTGCTTTTGTATAGGAAATTATGAAAATACCTGAATATTGTATACTTAGAGATTGTAGCCGACTGATAATAAATAATTGATACTCGTGTTTACATTTTTTTTTCAAAATTCAGTTGTCCAAGCATTCAAAAAGTTACCCACTAAGAAACTTTAATAAATACATTTCCCTTGAGAATGTAATTTTCCTTTGGAATGTAATTTTACTATAAAATGATTTAAATTAGACAGCTTTAATTGTAAATACGGCACGAAACACAATCATAAAAAATATGAAAAAAGATAAAAAACTGGATGCAGTAAAAGCGATATCCATCATTCAGTTTTTCTTGAAGACAATATTGGTGAAATTGAAAAACTTTAATAAAAAAAGGGTATTTTCAATAATATCGAATGATAAATATAAAAAAAACGTATTTCCTTGAATATCTTAAGTTGATTTAGCAACCAAAGAAAACTGCTGTAAAACGTATTTAATTAAAAAAACACATTTTAAAAGTTTAGTACACATACACATACGACTATGTACACATTTAAAACATATACATAATCCGGATTCTAACTGTTCTGGATGAAAACATTTGCGGCTAATTCAGATTTAAAAAACTTCTTGTTGTACATTTAACATAAATATTTTTGCAATCATACATTTTCATTTGGTCGAGAATATGCTCCAACACTTAGCAATTTTTTTTAAGATTAGCAATTTTTTTTAAGATTCTTTAATGAATAAAACAAAATTGACATTCCTACTCAAGGTTACAACGAACGAAAGTAATTTATTTAAACAACAAAAAGTTTTTAAACAACCATTATTGCCTGTGCCGGTTTCGAGCCCAGCAGTTCTCATCAGCTGGGTTTAGATGCTCGAAACCGTTCTTGGGGGTACCTGACATTAATCTGATCTTACTCGACAATTATTATTTAATATCGTTCCCAGTGCTTGTGAACTATGCAACAATTTACTGGAAAATATGAGAAGTTAGAAGCGCGTGTGTTTTTTCCCTGAACATTCGCTAAGTTCTTGATGAAATTCGTGAGATACTTAGACGAAATTAAAATTTAATATTAACTACTCCTGGAGCTTATCAAAAGTATTTTGAGGATTTTCAGTCCCTAATTAAGATTTGAGTAACATCGTCTCATTTGCCAGAAATTCGTCAGGCAATTTCTTGTTTGCCTTTTGCTTGCTCTCTTGCTTGCACAACATACCGGAAAAAAATAGCGCCGTTATTTACTCAGAAAAAGATTAATTATAACCGATTAACGTAAAAAAAGTGAACATTTTCTGCAATTGCAAATTAAATAGCTCGATGTTGAGATACATCATGTAGGAGTTCTTGTAAGGCAATTTTTTTGTTGGAAAGGTTACACTTTGGCCTTAACGTGTCTCGAAAATTGATTGAATTCTTATTATTAGTATTCATGAAATATTTTCAGGCAAAAAGTCATCCAGCTAATATTTTGTAAATCTCTCAATTAGAAAAAATGTTTTAAAACGTGTAGTGGACTTTCCCAGAATAACGATAATAATCAAACAGTTACTAAGCCAGTGAATCAATTCTGGTCTAATCTATTAGTCCGAAGTCTTAATTATCAGTGCGCCTAAACGGCGACTTAATCGTCTTATTTCGTATGTATTTCCCGTTTTTTATGTGTTTTTTAGTCATGCTCTTAATGTTTCAGCAGCTCTAATTAGGCATTTTTTTGTTGTTTTATCTTTCCTATAAGGAAACAAAGGTTTTAGTAGATAAGAAACCTTTTGGACCGAAAACAGTTGCTACCAAAAAAAAAAGCTACAAAAACCTGTCTAAATCATACAAAACAGTATAATACGCACAAAATTGAATAAAATTTATCATCACTATTTCTACCATCATCATCATCATCATTGTGAATTTTTAATAAAAATTTAAAAAAGTAACATGTTTCTTTTGGAACTGCATTTTGGAATATATTACCAAGTTGGAATTGCAACGGTGTAACCAGTTACAGAAAAATAACAGTTTAGCACACCTCTAGACTTACGCTCTTTTATCACAGCATGGACATTTTTTGCTGCTAATAAATCAAATACAAAACATATCAAGACAAAAATCGTGTTAAAATATCAATACCCTCTGCATGTAAGATACACAAGGTGATATTTAAAAACACTTTGCTCTCTTCGCTCTGTATAACCTAGCGAGGGCAAAATTTTAATCGCTACACATATCACAGGTTATATATCATATGATATTTAAGCTGTGATATTATTTTACGTTTGATTCCTTACCTTTGGCTAAATCATCAGTGAATGTTTTCTCCTTGTCGAGGGGTGAAAATGCGTCATCCACAGCGTCAACATTAGTTTCTGGTCCAAAATCGTCATCAAAATGCAGCTCTGAGGTTGACTTTTTGGTTCCGTTAGATTTTTCTGAGTCAAAAATATATTGCGTCAAATCAGCATCTCGCCAACACTTAAAGCACGCAATTGTTCCTTGGTTTTCTCAAAAGGGGGCCGATATTGTCACGCAGAACTCTATTCAGATTATTCCAGATATTTTCTAGAAAACGAACGTATTTTCGTGTCCTTTCACAGGAAACATATTTATTCATTGCAATATACAGAGTGGTTTAGTGTAAGAACGTCAATCTGATACTTCCACCCTGCCTACGTGCCGAATAATTCAATGCATGGAGAGTGAGAGGAATACATACTCAAAAAATAAGACAAATGAAAATCCAGTGAAACGTTTATACAGGTTGTTTCGATTATAGTTGCTGCACATTTTATTTTATGTGAGATACGGCGTTACTTTCCGAAATGTTTTCAAAAATTTAGATGAAGTTTTGAAGCTTGTCGTCGGATTCATGCGAATGCTTAGAAATAATCAAAAAAACCACTAGTAAGATACTTGTAGGATATCCAGAAAATGCAGAAGCTCAAATGAATAATAAAAATGTTAAAATTATCAGATCTATTTCCTATGCCTTTGGTATAACAGCATGTTTTTCAACGAATAAGTAGAATGGACGAAGGCAGAATGGTGGAGGATTGCACGGGACAAATCACCACTGGCGAAGAATAGGCAGGCAACCTGCCTAAAATTCAGAGAAGGATTCAGAAGAAGATTCTTGTAGTCTTCAATTGAACTAGACTCATTCTTCAAACCGAATGAGGCCCCCTTTGAGTCACTCTATAAATCGATTATCCTAAACACTCACCATTTGCTTTGAAGTTATCAGTCAAGTTCAGCAGCAGTCCATCGTTGTTCTTCTGCAAATTGAGATTGTCGGTGTCGACATCCAAAGCCTTCAATGAACCGTTCGAATTGGTGAACGGATTATTCGCGTTATCCAGCCCTGCTTCCATATTGTTGCTGGTTAATCTGGAGCCGTTTTTACTGCTCCAGCGCTGAGCCTCTGCAGCTATCTGATGAAGATCTCTGAGGAAGACTACGATGACCGAAATGTTGTCCAAGGAACCGGTTGAGCAGGCACGTTGAACTAGATGCTGGCTTATGTGTTTAATATCGGCTGGAACAAGAGAAAACCTTGGTTATGAGCAAAAAGGTTTTGGGAATTATCCCGTGACAATCTAATCTTTATCTACTAATAAGTAATATGATGGCATTTAGAGGATAATTTACTGCAGAATATTTTCATATCTTAATTGGTTGCGATACCATAAAGCCGGCAGGTGACGCAGCTGAGACGACACGGCTATGCATTTGGATTAGTCGCAAAATAATAATAATAATTATTATTCTAACAGTAGATGTTGGGAATGAAGGCAAATAGGAGAAAAATGCTCCAGTTCAGCTTTGTCGTGCTCTAATTACAGTGCATGACCGATCCGAATTGAAAATACATTGGAAAAGAATGCACGTTTGGTATGTGAGTGATGGAGAAGCGCTCGAATGCACATCGAAGGAATGATTATGATAATAATTGGCACTTGCAAAATCGGAAAAAATGTAAGTCAACCACAGAACGCTGGCGACAAACAGCAGTAAGAGCAGAAAATGTAAAACCGCAGCGCAGCCTCTCTATATGCATTTATCAGATGCCTAACTATTCTAATTTCCGTAGGAAACTGATTTATTCTTTGGCCGTGTTGTGGAAAACGTTCACCATCACCACCATCATCTGCACATCTAATTTGTTTCACATAGTTTACTGAACCGGAGCGCGACTTTTATCAACTTCCTGAAATCGGCAAAACGCGCCGAAGAACCGATGAAAACCGCAATTATTACCTGTCAGTTATAATCAGCAATCATTATATTTAATTTATTGTACAATTCAAGCAAGACTAAGATCAACTAGTTGAATAGGCAAGCCAACATAGAAAAACATGGAATAGTGGAAGGGTGTGGGGTCGTTCACTACAAATGGGCACTTGTTATGCCAAAAAAGTAATAATCTAAAAGTATTTTATAAAACATCTGTGCATTAAACTCGGCTGTAAGCTCATTAATGTAAGATTCAAAATGTGAGGCCAGTGTGAAATGCAGGGTGTCCCGTAAGCTCATGATCAAAATGGTACTGCGATAATCTTTGGACCAAAAGAAGACGATCTGACCTAACTTTTATTAGCAAGAAATGTCTGGCTCCTCTGCTATTGATGGACAAAGTTCTTCAAAAATTTATCTTTTTCGAAATATCGGAGAATGGTAAGATGTATTTTAGTGAAACTCGCTGTGAATTTGTTCTTATGTAAGACTCATATTTTGATGAAACAATCGAGTTCAGCCGTTTTGAACAAGTGGTAAATTCTTGAGTGTCGTGGTACAAAAACTACCAGAACTTTTTAGTTGGAGGATGAAATCAACTAATTGATTTTTTTTGGCTGATGCACTAATCATTTATTCACAATTTTGTGCTCCTTGTAAAATCTTGTAGCATTCATAGCTGTTGCCTAAAAAAAATATGTCTGTTTTTTAGTCACATAGCAATGCTGAAAAAAATATCCAATAAAATCAACTCTCATTTTTTTTAGGTTCATACACTAATCATTTATTCACAATTTTGTGCTCTTTTTAAAATCTGGTAGCATTCATAGTTTTCGCGAAAAAAATATTTCTGTTTCCTTGCCACTTAACAATGTTAGACATTAATTGCAAATATCGTGATACGAGGCATAAATTAATTGTCAATCAATCTCACAAACTCGTTTCGAATGACCTTTTCTAATGAAGAAGTGACCGACATGGCCAAAGTAGTAGGCTCTTTCAAAGACAATTTGCGTGAAAGCGTATGCGTTTACGGCGCGCATATTTGCATTAATGTCTAGCATTGCTAAGTGACTAGAAAACAGACATATTTTTTTTAGGCAACAACTATGAATGCTACAAGATTTTACAAAGAGCACAAAATTGTGAACAAATGATTAGTGCATCAACCTAAAAAAATGAGTTAATTTYATCCTCCAACTAAAAAGTTCTGGTAGTTTTTGYACCACGACACTCAAGAATTCACCACTTGTCCAAAACGGCTGAACTCGATTGTTTCATCAAAATATRAGTCTTACATAAGAACAAATTCACAGCGAGTTTCACTAAAATACATCGTACCATTCTCCCGATATTTCAAAAAAGATAAATTTTTTGAAGAACTTTGACCATCAATAGCAGAGGAGCCAAACATTTTTTGTTAATAAAAGTTAGGTCAGATCGTCTTCTTTTGGTCCAAAGAATATCGCAGTACCCATTTGATCATGAGCTTACGGGACACCCTGTATATACAGTGAGTCCCAGAAGTAATTTATAAATTCAGTTAGTTTAGCGGACGGTTTTATGGAAAAAGCTCATACGCGTGAATTAGTTGTAAATGCGATTTTTTTACACAGGGGGGTTCAACGATTTTTTTACACAGGGGGGTTCAACGATTTTTTTAAAATGAAAGCATYCTTTTTTTTATTTCAATTTTCAATTCTCCATTCAATTCGGAAAACATGTGCTATACTTGAACAAATCTAAACTGATCAGTTAACGTTAAATTTACCATTGAACCTATAAAATAATTAATATAAACGATTTCTTTGAAACTTCTGTAGTCCTGAAAAGGACGTATTTATTTTAAGAAAAAGTATCAAATTAATGTTTAAAATGTGTGCCATTTACGGCTTCACAATAACCAAGTCGTTCAATAAACTCTTCTTGCACCTTGTTACATTGGTAAATATGTTTTTACCGTTCATTATCCAAAACTGAAACAAAAATTTGGTACTTACATTTGGAAAAATGAAATTGAGGGTCTTGACTTATTTTTGGACCATCTCGCATAAATAAATTTGGTATAAAAAATCGCATTTACAAATAAAATGATGTGCCTAAAAATGATCAAATGGGGCTTTACCCAATAGAAAAATTCAGTATGATTGATAAAATCAAATTGGAATTGCCTAGAAAAACCGACGAAAAATTGCCATTTAAGACAAATGTAGTTCTAAAAATGTATAGAAATATTAAACAAACATTAAGTTCAATAAAGTAAAAACCATTATAGTCACCACACCGAAGAAATAAAGTTCAAAGCTCTTTTTGAACTAAAAATATTTATAAAGACATTTCGCAATTTAAACGAAAGCTCCCTAATGCCCAATACACAATAACTAAAGTCAGGATATCCGCAATTTCAAACATTCGAATAAAATTTTAATAATGGATATAATTCCTAATACGATAAAGTAATACGTAACTAATACGTCTTTACTGGACGAATCGATTCCATGTGTCAACGCATTCAAGAGAATAATAATTGAGCTTAAATTCATTCAAGTACTTTCTATAATCGCATTCGTTCTCAAAAAAGTAGTTTTCGCCTTTCTAATTTCCGTTATTGAATCATGATAACTGCCGAATTCAAGTTACAATCGCCCTCAAAACTGTTCCTCCAGCCTCACATTTATCTTTGCATTAGTCAATTTAACAAAGGTCAACAGCCTGCCTATTTAATAATTATTATTATCTGCAATTTAGCCTCTAGCTTAGGCGAAATTAAATAACACAATATTTAAATGCGTAACATGGTATGAGTCAGGCAGGACTGGTGATGAAACACCCAGACAAACAAACTTTCGCATTAGATGGAATTTATCGTTGCTTAGAATTATGCAATTTATGCGAAATAGCATATAAAATCAAGACGTACTTGTGACGAAGAATCATTTCACCAAAAATCCGCAAAAGTGAATTGGGCCTTCGGTTATTTTTTAAAGTTGCATTTTAACAGTTTTGTATTAATGTGAATAAAATTATTTTTACGAAAGAAGACACCTTTCATAAGTCAATAAAAAATAAACTTAATCTAAATAAAAAATGTAATACAAAATACAAAATAAACTACTAAGTACATAACAAGCTAAGTAGCATCAATTCTTGAAAAGCTTTAATTGGAATCTTCATATTGAGCTGATGCTCATTATGAGTGATGATGTATCTCTCATCAATTACAGGTACTTTTGGTGATATTTTTGTTGCAACTTTTACACTTCAGCTAATGTTATATCGAGATCTTCCAAAAAGATCTTAGTTATTCTAATCGAATAAAGTTAATTCAAGTTGCGACTTTAAAACAAGATGATTTTACGATAACTGATAGTTCTGAAATTGAACTCTCATACCAGAGAATAAAATGAATTTAAATTTAAATGCTCTTTGAGAGGCTTTTGGAAAAACTCATTAACAAATTAATTTAACAGCAACTGTGTGCTATTTGCAACAGCTCTAACATAAGAACAATCTATATTTGCAGTTCTTCGAGAATCCTATTGTAAACATCTCGAGCAAACCATCTCTGCCCTGAAGATGCGAGCAACTTGTGCTTACGAAACGTCAAGAGGAAATTATTTTTCACGACGGTCTAAAAGCCCGAAAAACCCAACAATCTGAAGAGATTTCTAGTACAGTTCTTAGAAACAACTAGACCTCAAATGTTTTTTTTGGACACATACATGTATTCATCCGAAAGTTTTGTTTATGCTCTATAATGCATAAGTTTTTTTTATTATATTATATTATTTAAATTATTTTCAATCGATATTCAATACAAGTAACATTGCTTATGAATATATAAATGATCACCAGCACTACTCGCTCTAAATTTCTCATTCGGATAATTAAATCTCAAATACGAAGAAAAAGAGATTTTCGCTGGAAAATAATATCTACATGTCTTATTAATTTTATTTCATTATTATTTGTGTGTTATATTGCAGTCACAAAGACTACTTATTGATCCGTTTAGAACAGATTGTATAGTTCTCAATAGATTAAAACCTACATACAGATACAAATACAAATTTTTCTTAAATTGTTTAACATATACTTAGCAGATTTCACACGTCCGTAAGATACACCTTTTCGTTTATTTCAGTTATTATGTTTGATATAAAGATGTGATTTTATTGGTTAGAATAATTCAGCTTGCCTTAGCTTATTTTCCTTGTTCCATTACAACTAAATTTATTTTTTTACAAATAGCAAACCATAATTCAAATCAAAATGTAAATATATTGGAATTATTTATAATTT